TTTTAAAGTTAAAGGTCTGACCCTTTCATATTGGAAATACGGAGTTGCGTAGAGCTGAATACACAGTGAATGAATGTGATGGTCAGATATTATTTTAAAGTCCTGGATTCCCTAGCTTTATGTTGTCCTAACTACCGATTTTCGTGGGACTAAAAGTTCGGGGTCATTTTCAGCGGGGACAACCCCAGTGAGATTCATTTACATTTTTGTCTAGGTTTGCCGTGTTCAGTGATAGTTCGCTCACGGATTGTGAAGAAATGATGCTTGAACCATATTAATAATTGTATTCTTAAATAAACACTTCCGGAATTTGCTCAGCTACTACAAAGCAACCAAATGTCCTTGAGGGAAACGGTCTTGACGTATTCCTGTTTGCAAAATCGGCATATTATACAAAGTTGAAACAAGATAATTTGGAGCCTTGTTGGGGAATTTCGAAAAAAGATAACTATTGTAGATGGTTTCAATTTGTGTCATTGGGGCCCGATTCAGGAAATAATACTAACCCTATCGATGCGCAATTATTAAATGAGATACATAATTGCGCCAGTGAATTCACCTAAAAATTAGTTTAGAGCAGGAAGAATTTTAATTTGCGGGAATTCGTCCAACGAATAGCGAATATATATTCGGTAGCAAGCTTAGCGTCACAAGGTGATTTGTTTACCATTAAAGGTAATTCAGTGGAGTTCTTCCAGTCAACAAGCATTGCAATGTGGAAGCTGACAACTCCTTATGAGATTGTTTTTACCCGGTGCGTGCACGCTGAATTTCTAATCATTGGTGCACACACAGAACAGCAGACAAGACACCCAGGATAGGAAATACAACAGTTCTCCCTTGACGGTTGTAGTTCGGTTGTTTCCGTTGTAGATCAGTTGTTTCCATACAGCTTCCGACGCGCAGTTTTATCACAGACCATAGGCTATTTGCTCCGATGGGTTATTATACTGCCACAACGCAGGACATTCTACCATGAAATTGTTAGAAAATATAATAATGCTGCGATGCTTATTCTCCCGTATTCACTGAAAAAAGGTTGCAAGTCAGCTGCAATCCTAATCGACGTGGTGATACGACCCTACGAAATCACGCAATAGTTTTGGGGGTTAGGGTGTCTGCTTTGGTTGGATATAAGCGTTCGCGCAAATCGCCTTGTGGTCCAACTAGTTTCATCCGAAAAAATACCATTGAATAGCGCACCGTTATAAATTGAAATGAACCAATCATGTTTCAGAGAGCTTTCCAGGAAGTTAAATCACGATATAATTACGAATTACTTAGGGTACCACCGCGATTAACGTAAGGTATACCGAATGAGCTGTAAGAGATATGCTATATAATTATCGGTTCTCGAGGAAATGCACTATGCATTAGCTTAGATGACTTCGATGCATGCATCCTTGGTTGCTTCGTAGGGTAAACGCTGGGTGATTACTAACATGACGAGGCCAGTAAACGTATGACCAAATGTCCATCAATATAGATATCCACCTCGGAAGAATATTCAGCACAATGAGATGTTGACCATTATTGAAACAATCGGCCTGGAAGTGTCCTAGGAGAGTAATTGAAAGAATGCCAGCCAGATTTAAACAGACGCGCCTAGTGAATTCAAACTTGTACCACCGCTGGAATTTCGGTCTATTTCTATATTCTGTCATTTTAACTTTACGTGAGTTCAAGATTAATTTTGCTGAATTTTCCAGGTGAAATTTTCAAGCTGAAGTCTTGACACGTAAGGCATATGAAACTAATTTGGGGAAAACTGTACGGTCTGACAAATGCTGTATGAATGAATAAAATATATATGCAAGATGCTTCCCAGTTTACCTGCCTCATTCGACAACATATAAGTTTTCAGCAATGACCAAACACGTTTCCCCACTAAGAAGAAGAGTTGCGATGCTACAACATTTTAGCTGCTAGCAAACTTGGAGTATAAGGTCTTTGTACGCAGTCTCAATCGCCAACAAAACTGAATATTTATTTGATAGTTTTGCCTTTTGTTGCGAGGTGTTAAAAGATAAACAAAAAAGCCGTCCAGCCCAAGTTATTGTGAAGCACTGCTGATTTTATTATAAGCAGAGCATCCCACCGGCCCTCCGAGTCACTCTGTTTTGAAATACCAAGAATCTAGGATAAAACCATGATATGGACATTCTCAAACGACTCAGAACCTACATGTGCGGTCAAGGGCAATATAACTGAGAAGGCGGTTTAACCAAATGTTGTTCTGTATGTTCCGTGTTCATATTACCGTGCTACAGCTTGCAAAAATTAGGAGAGCTGAACGCGGCTAATGATACAACCGACAACGTGAGAACAGGATTATATGGAAGCCTCTATTTCTGTTTCGAAGTGTGTCGGATTTTCTGCTGTGCACCGGTGTTTATCGAAAAACCATCTAAATCCCGCATACCTACTGCGCTTTCTAAGCCAATTAAGAGCACCCCTATTTTTGGAAAAAAACTTTCCCATGGAGTCCTTTTCAGTGAAGGGTTGAATTGCTCCCATCGTATATTATTCAGTTTTTGCCTGCGAAAACAACTGAGAGAACAAGTTGGAGTCAATTCGTGCGCATGTTCTGACGACGGAATTAAATACTCATTTAGTTGGGGATTATTCCACCATACATCTATCTTACTCCGTTCCGCCCTTGCCACCCTCAATACTTTCAACCTATCCACCAGTTTGTGAAAAATTAAATTTTACCTAATTCTACTAATATACGCTTGTTAATTTCACTTAACCAGTCAAAAATCGTACAAATCGTAAATTTACAAGGTAGGAGGTCAAAAGCACAGACAAGTATCTGATAAGTTTTGAAAGTTTCTACAAAGTTCGAGGTATTTGATCCCACCACTGTTCTCATTGATCGCTGGTATCATCAAGGCCAAGACCCGTGATTTCAGCAATATCTCAGATGAATCGAGAGGTTGTGGGCATAACCACGTGTTGGTGAATGAAATAAATCCTTAAGGCATTGGGCATTGGTGCACTGGCACCAAATTAACTGGGAACAAACGTGGGCTGAACCAAGGGTATGAACGTTTTCTAAGTTGGATATCATGTAGGTATTCGATTGAATTCCTGAATCCTGCAACTCGCAAGCACAGTTTGTGGACTGCTATAAATGCAGGTTCAAGAATATTCCGAAGTTGTCGCTGTTGTCGCTTAAAAGAACGACTGAAATAATTATGATTTGAAGCGTGGATAGTGTAAGATACTTCATGGCGGAATAAAAACTAGTGGATGCAATAACACTTTGGAAGCTCTAAAAACAATGCCATTGCGGTTATTCGGCTCCCCTTAATTGGTCTTTTTAGGAAAAAATGTAGTTTTCAGGGTAGGTGTAAATGTAACCCTCCAGAGTGCAGTAAACAGCGTTAAATCAAACTACTGGTTAAGAGAAAGCCAAGACGAATCCAAGACGAATCCGGCTGAACTTCGACAGCCACAATGGTTTGGCACACACTTCAATGAACGAAAGTCAAAAAAATTGTGTCTGAAAATACATTATATTGCCAACCTGAGCGCATGGTAAGCCGCGCATTAAGCGTGCCGTTTGAATACAAGAACAATGGGGGTAGCTTTAAATTTCGAGCTAAGCTTAGCAACAACGGCTACGTTTGTGGATGGGCAGTAATCAGGTCTTACACGACTAACCTGTGAAGGAATGCCACATCGGTAATTGTAGTAACGCGTTGGACTTAACGTTTCAATTTTAGACGAATCAGGATAGTGTTTTTGCTTGTGGTCTAGTCACAGAATCAGGAGTTGTAAAACGAGAGACGAATATATATTCGAACACCATCGTCAATAGACTAATTGTTGTATGGCGCGTGAAATTTTCAACATCAAGACACGTTTACTGCAACGGCACGTGATGACGTATTGTTGAATCAATTTTAATTAGGATATTGTGGAACCTTTCAATAAACGATAGTCGATAAACGTAAGTTTGCGGGCAAAATGGAAACGATGTCTCAGTTGAGAAATCACAAATCCGTAGCTTTGTATTCAGTTAGACGAGCATTTACATCAAAATTTCTTACAAATAAATTGAAGACATTTTTTCAAGTAATCGATTTTTAGCGAAAATGTTAGGAGATAGTTTTACGAAATTGTGAGCAGTGTATGTATGCTTGCACACCAGAGTCGGTTAGTTAGTATGAGGGCCCCATATTCTCTGCTTGCATTCTATTCAGGATTGCAGGCCGCAAAATGGCGCTGAACACGATCAGGACTGCTTTCCATCCGGCAGCATCTATAGCGGAGCTTTAGGATAGATCCCTGTGATATGCCCGGATGTGTTGCCCTACTGGGAAAATGTGAGTCCTTCTGAAAAATGTTCAACATCTTTCAAAGGTATTTATTTGCTACAAACACCACTCCTACATAAACCATGTTACAAAACAGGCCTTTTCCCAAGCACTTTGACGATACTAATATCATGCTTCACAGAATTCGTTGGCGGATTCGGGTGCTTGTCTAATCAGATTATGAAGCAAGGATAAACCGAATCAAGTTGATGTTTCATGAATGGAATCAAAATCACATGGTCGATAGGCGCGATACCAGCAAAATCAATAAATAACTGGTTCATAAAATGTAGACAGAGTTCACACCTGATTACAACAATCAAGATCATCTCTAGAATTGGTGGAAGCGTGACAATTTGCAAGCTATTAATCTATCATTGATGAGGTTTCATTGAATCCGATGTGGATGGGATGAGAGGCAAAAGACCACAGATTTACCAAGTAGGTGAGTCCGTTTGCAGTTTCTCTTGTTTCGGTGAAAACGTCGACAAGAATGCTCTTCCTAAAACTCTTTATCCTACAAAATTTTAGAAATAAGGCATTTTGATGGATGATTGGCGAATGTCAACTGAGTCAATTCAAAGGTAACAAAAGTGCAACAAGTTAACAATTATCGTCAATGCTTTGCTTGACTGTTGAAGAGTATTTGCCACTTATTTAACTAGAAATACTCACTGGGAAAGCGAGAAACCTTCCCTGACATTGAGGATATTTTTTCAATCAATTTCACACATTCGTCGAGGGGCATCCTAACAACGAATGAGATACACATTGGAATGACTTAATTTTACATTTCGTGGGTTCCGGACGTCGTATATCATAAAAGGATAAACGCAGGACATTTAAATTTCTCTCTATTGGTTAATAATTTTACTTGCCAACAACTGATGGAATTCGGGATGCATGATGCATGCCGAACCTTCGGGAAGGCCACTCAACACATGATGTGCCGATTGACTAATTTCACCGATAGAGACGTGAGCCTCAGAAAAAATGTACTCCCTTAGTGGTTCTTCGTGCCTCTCACGCGGAACGGCTTTGAATTTTCAAAGACTAAACATGACATTTAAGTACATGGGGGTTTTGATCCGAATTCAAAGTGGTTGCAGAAGTATCGCTCGAGTAACTCAAGTAAAACTCATATTCAATGTGGAAGACACCGAATTACCGATTAATTTTCACCACATCTAACCTAGTGTTTTTGGTCCCCCATACTTTTTAGAATACAGTGACCATTTAAACAAATTAGGCTTGGGCGCGCCAAAGCGGCAGTGTAGGACATAAAAATATCGGGCAACTAGTCAGCGTGAAGCAGATAACAATGACTGCGGAGTAATATACATTGTTTTGTTCTCTCGATGTGCTCCTTCATATGTGGAGGTGAATTCGTTACTGTTATCCAAAGATACTAAAAATCCTCGAACATTCCCGATGACGGTAATTCCACATTATTCTCTGCGTGTGCTTCCAAATAATGGGGCTCTGTTAAAACACGGTTACAAGCGGGACAGTTCTACGGTTACACCCCTGCTTGAACGTCAGCCTGTAGTTCAAACGCAAGCCGGGATCAGAAGCGTTTTCCGCAAAGGCGACATATGTGCATGTTTTCGTCAGAGCCCTAAATACTCTTTCTTTTCCGTGGTTTCGATATCCTCCGTTTCATTCCAGTGCTTCTCACTCATAGGTATATTCTTGATTTTGGAGAACGCAAAACGAGAGAGACAGAAATTGCGTTTGTGTGATTTCCGTTAAAATGCTTTTCAAGATGGTGACGAGGAATGAAAGCTGATGGAAACACCTCCGACCATGTCGGACGCCCAGGCAAAGTTGTTTCAGTTACTAAATCCTATTTGGATTCAAAATGCATATATGTTTTAATGTTGGACTCAAATTTTCTAGCGTCGAAGCAAATATGGATTTTCGCGAAAATGTGCATACCTGTATTCCATTTCAAACATTGGTAACAAGAACTCCAACCTGAAGGCTCCACAAATGCCAGGACCTTTATTGTGAAGTTAGATTCTTCTTTCACGGCGTGCCCTAACATAAGTGGTGCGTTGAACAAAGACTTGCATTTGTTTAGAGTTTCACGGGCTCGACGCACTGATAGGTAAGTGATAGAGAAAACCAACTACAGGAGAAGAAGCTCCGAAAACTAGCGTCTTCAACGTGTGGTACCGTTTGGCTCTCGTATTTACCAAACGTTGTGAGCCTCTAGTTCACCCTTTCTCAGTTGATCTGGTTAGATTTGCACATAGCCTGTTTAGCTTATGTAACATGAAACCGTTTTAAGTGCTTATCAGGAATTCTTTCCATCAAGTAGGTACCCAAGCAGTTCGCCCTTTTGTTCTCCTATGTTTTGCGCATTTCTTGGTTGTCAGATATGAGAGTCCACTCCGGATTCAGATTGTTCAACTCAACGGATAAGCTTACTAGGGAAGGCAATAAAGTGCAAGTGTGCGGCATTCTAATGAAATTTCACAGTACTCTTTCTGCTACATTCGTATTATTCAAGATGTGCTGATGAACGTGAATGAGCAAACGTTGTCGATGCCCAACAAGGAGTAGGTGAAGGAGTTTCTAGGGGAATATCCAAGGTAGATCGTATGTGAAATAGTTTTTCAGCTGGTGCTCCGAAACAGACAGTCTATGTGGGCAAGGCTACCGGGGGTTTCATATTTCCGTCTGGTCGTCGTATTTTTTCCTGGGTCGTTTGGCGGATAACCTTGGGCAACTCAGTGTTCCCTTTTGTACGGCGTTTTTCGGCCGACGGGAACAATGAATACTGAAAGGGTATGGAGCATGAAAAACAGTTCCCCAGATGAAGCGGTGAACTCAGGATGTATTATTTTGCAACAGTGGAAATTTGGGAATACGAATATTTCGGTATAGTCAATGCTTCATCCTTAGAGTTTTGCAGCAGAAGCGTCCACGCTTTACCACTTCGCACAAATGGAATTCTAATAGACGTCGAAGCAAATCAGTAGACTATTTAAGTTATTAGAAATGTAGGGACTGTTGATAATACGTCTAGAAGTGTGTTATGAATTGCAAAGAACCAGATAATACAAGAGGAGAATATGTACCAAATTTTTTGTCTGTTGTGTTTCCCAATTAGTATGTATGGGCATCATAAGGAATCCGAATGCACAACTGCTAACTACAGACGCGCCAGTCGTAGTGTGAACCAAGTTGTTTTTCGGCAAAATATAATCATCTCAGTGATGGTTAGTTCATCGGCAAATGGCTGGCTCATTCTCTGCAATGCAGTCATTTTTCTGAGCGCCACTAATTCTCTACCAAACCACTGAAAAGTTCACTGATTGACCTTTAGATGAAGCACTCTTTCGCCGCCTAGTGGGAACCTCCAGATGGGGCAAGATTTTGAAGCCTTAATAATAGCAGTGGAGATAACGTGGTTGCGTTTGAACGACAACAAAATGTAGGAGTGGAGGCTCAGATATTTTGTGCTCCATTCATTTGTGGATGCCGGTTTTTTCAGGTAGGTTTGTTCGGCGAAAATAAGCCCGCTAATCTAGCATGACAGCTGCTATATTTACAGTCAGAATTATCCCAGATGTGATCGTTTCCTTCATCATGCTAATACCTCTTTGCAGCTCATACTCTTACGGTTTCTTCAGTTTACCCGCAAGTAAATTTTCTGGAAACCGTTTATATTTCTGATACGATTTATTCCAGGGTTGCCCTCATCAGGTTGAGTCTTCCGCCATATCAAATCATGTCAGATCTCAAATCTTATTCAGACACAGTGATTCATAGCGTTCCACGCTATCCTTCTGCACAATCGTTGTAAACAGTCTGCTGAGAAAAAACTCGCAGCCTGCTTTTGGGATTTGTTCGTCCAGCGTCCATACTACTGAGGTAGTATTTGATCAGAACACGCGCGTGTATTAGGCAGGAAGCTGCAAAACAATATGGATAGAACAACAACATATTAGAACAAAAGTTTGACGCAATCGGGGACTGCGCCTACCTGATGAGCCCCCAAAAGGGCGAAACCTGTCGTGGGCTGTCGATGGATTTTCGGCAACCTTATAAGTAGCACATTACAAAGACAAATTAGGAACCACTCCATAATTAGTTGATCATAGAGCAAACTAGGATAGCTGAACCCCATTCGATAATTAGTTTTATAACATGTAGAATTTCTAGGACGTTCGGTATTTTCATATGGGATACACAGAAGGAAACACTTTCCTCTTGGCGACAATCATAGTTAAACTGATTATGTTCTTCTTTAGTTTTCTTATGAAATGCGCCGCTTTTGAATGGAAGCTGTTTTAATAGGAGCAAAAAACAGGTAGACTCGTTGATTATAAAAGTGTCCTTATATCATGTTTCCTCTCAGAATTTCAAAGTTCGCAAATCTGACTGCACAAGATCAACTGAGACGGATCTCCGCGTCATCCGTTCTTGTTCGTTGCTTTCATAAGGTGCCTGCTGATCGCTGAAGTCGTAGATTGTAATTGCGTTTGTGTTTCTGCATTGAGACGGTTGTGTGGAAGCCGCATTGTTGTTGCATGCCCTGCTTCGTCGTTCTTCAGCGATTGCTGCTAAACGCAGCTTGGCGTTTGTTGACATCTCGAAAGTGTTTTATCTGGCTTCGCACGACACAGTCGTCAGACCTGTCGAGGTGTTTGGAACACCGTCACTTCTAGTTTGGTTCATCGCACGGTCTTCCGAGAATGCTGCACCAGTTTCCCGCAGTTCCGATGTCCACTGCCACAGAAGTGTGAGACAAGGGGATCCACTCTCCCCGTTATCACTCATTATCACAATGGGTGAGGTTCATGACTTGCCAATGCCACAACTTATGACATTTTGTGTGTGGTACATGGCGCCGCTTGTACATCTTCCCATCTAATATCATACCAGACCCAGCATCACAGATACTTTATGCCTGATGTGCGAGTCTTCGTTGTGCTAGGGCTTACAGCGTTATAAAGAGCATTCAACATTGTTTTCCTCTTTTTGGCTGTTGATCTTCAGACGCGAGTTTCCGTACCATTTTTACACCCGTTATAGGGTTGATGTAGGCAAGCAAATCTCAAAAGAAACGTGGGCACAAAATCACCAGTAGCTGCAACATGGTCATATCTATTGCGTTCATGCCCTAGGAAAATACGCTGAAAAATCACACAAAATTTCCGAGATTGCAGGAACTCTTTGCTAGATGTCCCATGAAGGAATTCTGCGGAGAAAAGCAGGAACTCTTGCTGGATGTCCCATGAAGGAATTCTGCGGAGAAAAGTATCTGCCGACAAATTCTGATCGCAACAATCCTGAACCATGAAAAATACTTAAGCCGGCGCCAAATACATTTATTGCGGCGAGGGCAAATTAAACTCACACTTCGTCTTGAAGGCAGATTATGAAACTGCTAAGATAACAACACTTTGCCGAGCGGGACAAAAATAATGTGAAAAATTATTAAAGTGCCCACGTTCAAATGTAGCTGAAATACACCTAAATGGTCGCACCAGTAGCACTCAGTCAAAATGTGGCATTTTATTTTGGGGTCTGGAATAGCACAACTAATCACTAAAGCGATTCAATTGTGGCGATGCTCATGACATTCTAGATGCGAAATGCGCCATCCTGATGATCTTCAAGGGAAACGGATCCTCTTGTTTTCACACAACTGTTTAAACTGAATTATCAGGACAGAAATCTCATCTACGAAGCATGTTAAAAAGATGTACTTTTGGTCGCTGTTCGAGCCCTAAC